CTTGCTAGGCTACATGTTTCAACGTATGTGTGTGTGTGTCTTTGCAGTGGATGTGTGCCGCAAGCGGTGGAAGGGGCTTAGGGACGTTTATATGAGGGACAGACAGATAGACAGGCGTTCCGAAGCTGAGATGGAGCGCCTGTATTTCGTGTCCAGGCGGGAGATGCTGCTTCCCACCCGGGCGAGGAGGTCCTCGAACTGCGCTGTCGACACACGGAAATACCACTGGAAGCGGCCGTTGTCCAGGCGGAGTTCCTGGAGCAAGCGGTGAAATTCACCCAGCTCCGTCGTCCTCCGGATGGTTTCATGCACCCATAAACGCCGGCGGCGTCTACTGCGGATGTACAGATATGCGGCAGCACTGAGGACAATGAACTGAAAACTGAGCTAGTGACGCGGTGGACCCGGTGTGAACACACCAGAGCACCCCGCGACGCAGCGTGACCGACCAAAGCGACGCGACCAGGTTGCGTCACGTTTGGTCTGAACGCCCCTTTAGAGCAATCGCCACTGCATCTTCTTCCAAAGAGTCTGTGTCATCTGTTCCTACGTTCAAAATGAGCATGCTATCCTGGATTTATCCAAGTATGATCAAGAGGTTCATGTGCACCCTAAAAACTCTTGGGTTATTTCTTCAACACAATTCCTACGTTATACGTGTTGAGTTAAATTTCTGGGTTATTTTTCAAATCAATACCCATTTCTTGGGTCATATGGATTCTATTGTAACTCAATTTGAGGGTGTTTTGAATGGGTTAATAATTGTGGTTTATTTTTCTGAGAGTAACCCAATAATTGGGTCAGAACGTTGGGTTTGGCTGATTCGTGAGTTTTTCTGACCGATCGATCCAATTCATCCCACACAAGCTCAATTGGAGAAAGGTCTGGAGACTGAGGGGGGCCAATGTATCACAATGTATGTGTGTCTTTCTTACACGCCACACACTGCCTTGTCTTAGGTTTTCCCGAGGGCTTTACTTCCTTAAAGAATCCAGACATGCAGGCAGTGTTAGGACCTGGGGGAGTACAAACAAAGCACAACCTGTTGCTTCAGCAATGAGGTCTGACAAGTTCCTCTCTAAATGCCTTCTGTCTCATAGGGATCTGGGGCCTTATGTATCAACGCTGGCGGCGCCAGAAAACCTTGCGTACGCCAAAATCGGCGCACACGTCCAGATTTATCATCGCGAAATGAGAGTCGGTTCCAGCACTAATCAACGCAAAGTGAGGAGGTGGTGTAGAAGTTGGCGTTGAGCAGATACTTGCGTTGACGGCACTTTGGCGACGCTGTGTGGCGGTGTTTGGTGACTCACTATGTGACAAGCTGCACCACATCCCCGTGGCCGAGCAGCACGTCGCCCCACATGACGAACCAGCAGCAGACGGAGGGATGCGAGCTGATCCCTGCCGGCCCGTCGCCACAGTGTGAATGGGTAAGAAGTGAATACACAGTTCAATGAGCCAAATTAATTTATTTTCGCCACCAGACGCTCGAGGACATTTATGAGGCGGTCCAGCCGCTCGCTGATCCCCGTGATCCCCCTGATGATTTCTTCCTGCGATTGCAGGACCGCCTCCGTGAGGACCCTTCCACTGCGTCCGGGTGGTCCAGCCGAAGCGCCGCGGCTGGGGGACGCTCCACCGCTTGTCGGCGCGCTGGTGCTGATGCTGATGCTGGTGCTGATGCTGGTGCTGGTGCTGGGGCCGGGGGCCAGGGTGGCCCGAATGCCGCTGGTCCTGGCCGACGACTCCGAACCGGCGGACGGGCTGCCGCGGGCCGGGGTTCCGCAAGCCGGTGACACGGCCGACACATTGATTTCTGTGACACAATAAAAATATAGGTTCATTTCAATTCCTGCTTCTGTGTATCTGTTGCGTTTACATCTCTCTCCACGGTATCATAGGTAATGTAATCCAGTATTTAGAGGTTAGTTATGCACATTACAGTTCTTTATTGCATAAAAAGTTATCGAAAAATGAAGTTAAGGGCGAAGTATAAATCACGTCTAAAAATAGACTGTATCCCGACGTTGAAATGAAGTATAAACTTAGACTAGACGTCTAATATACGTCTTTTGCTAAGTGGGATGGCAAAGCATGTGGACATTTGTGTGACACGCCACTTACCCTATAATAATAATCGCCACCACCCACTGCTCAAACGGCGTGAGGGTCTCCTCCCCCGGAGCCCCACCTGTCTGGCCGGTATTCCTCCAGAGGGCAGCTGTACGCCGCTTGACCTCCACCTTGAGGTCCAACCACTTTTTTTTAATCTCCGCGGGGGTGCGTGTCTCGGAACCCACCACGTTCACCCTCTCGCAAACTTTCTCCCACTCCAAGCGTTTTCGTTTTGCACTGACGCCACTGCCAAACAAAACAGGCTGTCGCTCCTCCACCTCCGCCACCAGCACCTCCACCTCGCACGCCGTAAATTTAGTTTTTCTTGTCATTTTGTCTGCGTGCGAGGACAGGGAGACCCTATTTAAATAACTCTGCATATTTATAGGAGGGCGTAACGGGGGCTGGCCCAGTCACTCTGACATCTGCGCTCAATTCCACGCTGATTGGGATTTATCAAGGAAACACACGTGGATTTCGGCGCCCGCACACATTGATACATATGGATTTTTTTCAGCGTGACAGACCTTGCGTGCGCTCGTTTCTGGTATGAGTTCCACGCAAGTGTTGATACATAAGGCCCCTGGTCTTTGGCTCTTGTCAGCTGCTTGTACAGGATATAAGAGAGTTCACAATAGTGATGTCAAGAAAGTTATAAAAAAAAAGGTCTTGTACCAGCGCATTGTTTTGCTGAGTACTGAGTAGTACTGAATGAGGGCATCAGACAGGTCAACACCACCCACGTACTGGTTGTAGTCCTTGATAGGATTAGGGACTGGGACAGGGATCTTGTACCAGCCATCAGCCTCCTTCGCTCTTCGCATCACAGAGTTCCCACTGTAAGCCTTGTGTATAGTGCTACCCAAAATCACCTCTCTTGTGTCTTTCCACTTAATGAAAAGAACACCATCTTTCCTCAGCCAACACACATCACCTCGTCTTGCATTCTTTGGTAAGTCATTTTCATTAGTTTTTGGGAAGCCAATTCTCAACTGCCTTATATTCCCACAGGCCCCGATATTCTTCTCAGCCAGGTCCTTGTACAGGAGAGGGCTGGTGTAAAAGTTGTCAGTGTAGAGATGGTATCCTTTCCAAAGAAAAGAAAAATTCCAACAGTCTCATAACAGAAGCATAACTCAGACTCATATCCAATGTGAAAGCACCTTCCCCTACATAAACAAAGAAATTCCATGTGTACCCTGTGTTTGAATCAGCAAGTACAAACAATTTGTTCTTCATATACTGCCTGGATGAAATCCTTGCCCTGCTAGCAACCATCCTTTCATTAATACTTATTTGTCTCCCTGGTTGATAATGTCATCATAAAATGGCCTAATTTTACACAAACGGTCAAATTCAGCAGTGCTCCTTTTCTCCACATTTTGCTCATCCTCATCAACGTCGGACAAGTGGAGACACCAGAAAATGGATTCAAATCTTTCTCAACTCATGTGGCAGCGAGGTAATGGGAGACCATAGGGGAAAGATGTCCTCCACAAGTCAGGCCCCTCATGGACACTGAGCAGTCCATTAAAAACAATGAAAAACAATGACAGCCAAAAAAATGAAAAACTCCCTGGATGTAAGAAGAAACCACTTGATTTTTTTTTCTGAATGTTTGTTCATGCGCCTAATGAGGGTGGCAATGACTGATGAGGAAAAAAAAGCCTTAACAAATCTAACGAGGTCCAGGATCTCAAGTTGAGTCAATTTGAGGACCTGGTGGCCGTTTTGTCTCAGACTTCAACTTGGCAAGCTCCTCATCTTGCTTCTCTTGAGAGCACCACCTCTCACTTCCTCGATTAGATAAAGGACCTGACCTTCCTCGCTGCAGTGGCCTTCTGTCTTGCAGTGGCCTTCTGTCTTGCAGAGGCGTCGTCTGCATCCTCCTAGTCTGCATCCTCTTCGTCTGCTCGTCTGCATCCTCCTCAGTGTGACAAAATCAGAACATATCATATTTCTATCACTGTTGTTTCAATTATAACAGCTTACAGGTACAGGACACACTTCAGTTTACCTTGATGGAGGGCTTGACAGCAAGGGTGGACGAGAAGCAGGGTGTCTGCTGCTTCTTCGTACACTCTGAGGAAACTTTGGGGTTGAGCAGCCTGCCTGTGCTGTAGTGGGGGTCAGTGCTGGAGGGGTTGCCTTGAATATATAGGATATAAATCAAATGTCAGAAACAATGCAAGCCGATTGGCTGTTCTCATAATGGCGGCGCCTTTAGTCACCACATCAAAACAACCTGAAAAGTTGATCAAATCAGCCAAAAACACAAATAAAATATAAAATTGAGCTCATCAAATTATATACATAACTTTACATACATGAAACTGATCTTGATATGGTTTGAGTTATTGTGCAGGTATTTTTGGTTTTGGTTGAAAAGTTTTCTGTTTATGTTCTGAATCTGTTTTCTCCTGTGGTCCTCTCAGCAGTGCTGTGGCTTGGGAGCGTGGCTGACCTACTTTCTGTCTGAGTGCAGCAGGGCACACCTGATGTCAGGCTCCAATCAACTCACCTCTCCATAAAAGACTGGCTCAACCTTCACTACTCTGCCAGATAATGCCGTCTCGCTCAGAAGCGCCAGCCTCCATGTTCTCCTGCTGAATTTTCTAGTCCTCTGTGACTTTTTGGGCTTTTCTGACCATCTTCTCTCGTGTTTTTTCCAGATTTGTGCCCTGCTGCCTCACCCACCTCCAGGCTGCTGGACAATGGGCAGCCAGCCTCCAACAGCCACAGCCCACAGAGGTTCTTTAGAGTGAGTTTTTTGTATGTCTCTGGAGAGGCAATAAAAAGACTGATTTTTGAACTGTGATTAGTCTCCTGTCTTTCTGGGTCCAGACAAAATCTCAGGCCTTAACAGAATTATCTGGCCAAAAATGGACCCAGTGGCGACTGAGCATTCGAAGCAGGCCTTGTCTAACCAAGGAGCCTTACTAGGCCAACATGACTCAGCACTGAATCTTGTAATGGACAATCTGCAGCAACTAGTCACCAGCGTGGCACAGCTCGGCAGAAGGATGGACTCAATTTCTGCCCAACTCACCAACTTGAAGACACCTGCAGATCCACCACCTCCACCACCAGCTGTTGAGATTGCTGCAAAACCACCAGCCATGCTCCAGGAGCCCTACATCCCCACACCTGCTAGGTACTCAGGTAATCTAGGGACATGTTCTCAATTCCTTTAGCAGTGTTCCTTAGTATTTAGCCAACAGCCACTCAGTTATGCCACAGACCAAGCTAAAACTCCATTTATCATGATTTTGTTGACTGATCAAGCCTCAGCCTGGGCAGTAGCTGTTTCCACCCACACCCCAGGTCTTTGCATGGATTACAATCAGTTCACACAGGTAATGAGGAAAATTTTTTAACATCCTGTTAAAGGGAGAGAAGCAACCACTCGATTACTGCAGATAAAACAAGGTTCACAACCAGTAGCTCAATTTTCTATAGATTTCCGCATACTAGCTGTTGAAAGTGGCTGAAATGATCCTGCTCTCCAGGGGATTTTTCCTAAAAGTCTATCAGATGAAATAAAAGATGAGTTAGCTGCACGAGATGATACAGCAAACCCAGAAGAGCTGATTAACTTAGCTATAAGGCTAGAAAATAGGCTGAGGGAGAGATGCAGGGAAAGAGCCCGGGGGGAGGACCCAGCCTTTCATCTCCTCCAAAAGCAGCCAGGGTTACAATGCCACACCCTTGACTCCGCACCTCAGTACCACCAAGTTTGACTCCTCTCCACCAGCCTCAGCAGGTCCCAAAAAGCCCATGCAGTTGGGTCGGGCCAAGCTGACCCCAGAGGAAAGACAACAGCGACTAGATAACCACCTCTGCATCTACTGTGCAGGGAAGGGGCACTATCTCGCCCAATGCCCAGCTGTGCCAAAAGGCCAAGCTCACCAGCAGGCAGGGGGGGGCGCTGGTGAGCCGAAGCTCCTCAACCTCTCCTCCCATCAATTGCATCAAAGTTAAGGGTATGTTGTACTGTTCACAACAGACTCTGCCTGTTCTGATTGACTCAGGAGTCGACGATAATTTTATTGTCTCTGATTTATTTAAACTCCATGATCTCCTAGTGTATGAGCATGATGCTCCCAAGAAAGTGCTGGCCATAGATGGTAAACTTATTGAACATGTAACACACAAAACTCACCCTTTGAAACTCCTCCTATCTGGCAACCACCATGAACATTTGGAACTTTATGTAATTTCGTCCCCTCTCACTCCCATAGTACTTGGGTTGCCATGGCTTAAGACTCATAACCCACACATAGACTGGCCTACATCCACCATTCGCAGCTGGAGTGACCACTGCCATCAAAACTGCTTACATTCAGTTATTCCAATGCAAGTTTCCCAAACTCCTGTCCCACCTGATAACATTGATCTGACTAATGTTCCCAGGGAATACCACGAATTAAAGGAAGCCTTCAGTAAGGACAGAGCACTCTCCCTACCACCACAATGGCCCTATGATTGTTCCATAGACTTACTTCCTGGTTCATCACTACCCACCAAAAGACTCTATAACCTCTCAAAACCAGAAAAAGACACTATGGAAACCTATGCCACAGATTCTCTTGCTGCAGGCCTCATCTGACCCTCGTCATCTCCTTTAGGAGCAGGTTTCTTCTTTGTGGAGAAGAAAGATAAGACCTTGCGACCCTGCATAGACTACACTGGACTGAATGACATCACCGTCAAAAACAAATACCCCTTCCTCTCATTGACTTAGCTTTCACTCCTCTTCATGACGCAACCATATTCAACAAGCTAGACTGACGAAATGCCTATCACTTAGTCAGAATCCGTGTGGGGGATGGGTGGAAAACCACTTTTAACACACACCTGGGTCACTTTGAATACCTTGTGGAACCGTTCGGCTTAACTAATGCTCCCGCTGTTTTTCAGGCGTTAATAAATGACGTGCTTAGAGACATGATGAACAGATTTGTATTTGTCTATTTGGATGACATATTGATCTTCTCCAGAAACTATGATGAGCATGTGCAACATCTAGAGCAGGTTCTACAAAGACTCCTCTAAACAAGCTGTTTGAGAAGGCTGAAAAATCTAAATTTCATGTCACCTCTATATCATTTCTAGGTTATGTGGTTGAGAAGGGGCAGTTGAAGCCAGACCCTGAGAAGGTAAAAGCAGTTGCTGAGTGGCCCGTTCCAGCAACATGCAAGCAATTAGAGGTTTCGAGGGTTTGCTAATTTCTATAGGAGGTTTAATCAAGACTGTAGCCGCATAGCAGCCCCTCTCACCCAGCTAACCTCAATAAAAAGATTGTTTGAATGGTCCCCTACTGCCCAGGCAGCATTTGAAAAACTAAAAATCAAAGTTGTTAATGCACCTGTTTTGATCCACCCAGATCCTGCCCTGCAGTTTGTTGTGGAGGTCGATGCCTCAGATTCAGGGGTGTGAATCTGAGGCATCTCTCTGCTGAGAGAAACTATGACGTGGGGAACCGAGAGTTGCTGGCGGTGCACACGCTGCAAGAAATTTCCCTAGAATTAGGGTTCTTGTTAGCAGATTCAACAAACAGTTCCAGCTTGATTTAGTTGATATGGGTGAATTCACATCAGAAAACAACAATGTTCAGTACATGCTAATTTGTATTGATGTATTCTCTAAATATAAATGGGTGAGGCTTCTAAGAAACAAATCAGGACCTGCTGTCACAAGTGCATTTAAAGATATTCTAAGAGATGAGACGCATTCCAACAAAAGTCCAAACAGATACCGGTACTGAGTTCTGTGACAAGCATTTTAAAACTCTGCTGCACCAGTATGACATCACCCATTTTGCCACGTCAAACAAGACCAAGGCCAGTGTAGTTGAATGTTTTAATAGAACTTTCAAGACGCGTATGTGGAGATACCTGACATCCATCAACTCACAATGATGTATCAATGTAGTCCAGGACCTTGTTAAAGTGTACAACAAGACTTATAAACCCATCGATAAAAATGGCGCCTGCCAGTGTTAATAAAGGCAACGAGAAAACAGTCTTCAACAACCTCGACAAAGTGAAACCGCAAAAAATGGTACACTTTAAATGTAATATAGGGGACAGAGTGAGAATATCAAAACTCTGCGGCAAGTTTAGAAAAGGCTATGAGCAGACTTTCACAGATGAATTTTTTACAATAACTGCACGCGTAGCCAGGGACCCTCCCATATACAGACTAGCGGATTGTGGAGGCGAAGCTGTAAAAGGTAGTTTTTATGAACCAGAGCTACAGATGGTCATTATTGATGACAACAAAATATTTAAGATAGAAAAAATACTAGCTAGAAAAACAGCAGGCCAGAAAAAAATTGTGTTAGTGAAATGGGTGGGGTGGCCGGATAAATTCAACTCCTGGCTCAATGAAAAAGACATAGTGAATGTGCAATAAATGAGCGAGCCATCTGTCCACCATCATATTAAATGCAGGCACTAGATAGCGATGGAACAAATGGACAACTCAACTCAATCAACTTTATTTATATAGCACTTTACACACAACAGAGTTGATCCTAAGTGCTTTACATCAACACAGAGGAAAAAAACAAAACAAAAGAAGAGAACAGATGATGAACAAGAAGAGCAGACTGAGTGACAGTTCTAATAACTATAGCAATAAAATATATTTTCAATACCATCACTATCATCATCATTCATAATAGTGATAATAAATAATAATAATAACAATAGCAGCAGCAATAAAATTATAATAAAGACAACACAGATCTACCGACCTACAGAGCTCACAAAGCCTACATGGGAAATGGTTGAGCTATAAAAGTTGGGGACAGTTAAAAGCTCGGGAGTAAAAGTGGGTTTTAAGTTGTCTTAAAAATCTCAATGGTGGGGTAGAATCTGATGGAGGGAGGGAGAGAATTCCACAGTTTTGGGGCCGCGATAGAGAAAGCCCTGTCCGCATCACACTTAGTCCTGGATCGTGGCACTGACAGAAGTCTTTGGTCAAACGATCTGCATTTTGAATTAGTTGGAGACGAGATAAACAAGACTGAGTGATACTGAGTGGAGGATATGAAGGCATGAATGACTTTCTCCAAGTCAGAAGTAGTAAGAAATGATATGATTTTTGAGACGATGCGGAGCTGCATGAAGCTTGATTTTACGACCTGATTTATTTGTTTGTCAAACTTTAATCCTGAGTCAAAGATGATGCCAAGATTTTTAACATGATTTGACAGAGGGGGCCAAAGGGCCAAGAAGAGGGGCGATAATGTTGGTCACATGCTGTGGTCCAAATAGAATAACTTCAGTTTTGTTTTCATTGAGCTGGAGACAGTTTGGAGCCATCCAGGATTTGATGTTATGAAGACAGTTATTAAGGTCACTTAGTTTGTTGTAGTTATTAGGCTCAAGGGGGAGGTAGATCTGTGTGTCGTCTGCATAACAGTGAAAAGATATGTTATGCTTTTTAATAATGTGACCAAGGGGAAGCAAATAGATGGAGAAGAGAATTGGACCAAGTATGGAACCTTGGGGGACCCCACAGGAGATGGGGGCTGAGGAAGAAGAGGAGTTTCTAATGGAGACACTGAATGATCTCTTGGACAAATATGATGAAAACCAGTTTAAGGCAGAGCCAGAGACTCCTGCCCATTATTTTAATCTGTGAATTAGAATTGAATGATCTACTGTGTCAAAGGCTGCAGTTAGATCAAGGAGCATGAGGATGGAGCAGTTACCTGAGTCAGCGGCTACAAGGAGGTCATTAGTTATTCTCAGTAATGCAGACTCAGTACTGTGAAGAGAACCGGACTGGAACTTTTCAAAAATGCAGTATTGAGCCAGGTGGGACAACAGTTGGTAAAAAACAACTTTTTCATGTATTTTGGAAAGAAAGGGCAGTTTGGATATGGGATATGGAGGTCTTCATAGAAGAGATAATATGATGAAGTTCTGTTAAAGTGATGGAGTTAAAAGAATTGAGAACTGCAGTATTTTCAGAGGAGATGGATAGGCTATTTACAGATGGATTTATACTAGCTCTAATGTTAAGGACTTTGTTTCTAAATAATTTTCGGAACTCCTCACATTTAGAGTCAGATGCTTCAAGGCAGGAGGTAGAAGTGAAGGAAATGACAGAGTTCAACACACTAAAAGTACCCAAGGATTACCCTAGGCAGCAGAGGCGTAACCTGGAGCGTTGTTGCCGTTGACACCAGCGGAGGGCTGCGCGTGGAAAACGCGAGCTGCCACAGGTTCGGCTGTCCCAGACCTTGGGCCATCAGCGAAGCGGGCGGGGGTGGCTGCATCCTTAGAGAGATCCGCTGAATGCATCAGTGCCTCGTCCTGTAGAGCCGCGAAGTGATTTGAGAGGTTAAGGGGAGGTGGTGAGATTTCATGGTGACCACTCTTCTTATGGCCCCTGACCACTGTAGTGATTTAAATGAGCCTCACACGGTCGCACCAAAATATATGTAGCGATTTGAAATGAGCCTCACAAGGCCGCACCAAAATAATACTGTAGCGATTGGAATTTATAATAAATGTCTGAAGATTAATAATCTCAAATTATGACATTTATGCACTCGTTGAAAGGGGCACCACCCACCCTTAATGGTGGGAAAATAAAGAAAACAAAAGTTTAATTCAGAAATCAAACATCAAGTCAGTTTTAATTAATCAGTCTCATATCTTAAGTTGAAATTCTAATTTCAGGGACTCCACTTCTGGAAGAACACTAACAGACAGGAACTTAGAAAAATAATGATCTGTTTATTACAGGATAAATGATGGTACAACATACATGCAATAAATGATGATAAGATAATGAAGATAAATAATTAAAGGTGAATAAATAAAGCTTCTGAGTCAGACTAGGAGCACTAAAGTTAATGATAGTGAGTGAATATGCGCTAACATATTAACCTACACTAACTTTGGTGTCGAGATAAACTCGGATGGATTTGGAGGAATCTAAGATTACCAGAATAAGTGGAT